AGCTGACTGTTCTGTGGTTGTATGCCTGGTGTTGGCTTCATGTATTAGACCAGGACTATTCAACTAAACTGCTCAGGGGGCCACAGTTTCTGAAAGCCAGCAGCTCGGGGGCCGGACATCCAGCAATTAAAGTCATTATGTAATTAAACCAAGTATTAAAATGATCTGTTATCTTTTAAATGTGTTTGTTTTATTTCATTGAATCATAAATGCAATAAACAAAACTCAAAACCCACCCCCCCCCCCCCCCCCCCCCCCCACACACACAAAAAAAACTGTTGGGTGGGCCGGACTGAAATCACCCACGAGTCGGAAAATAGTCCTGTATTAGACTGAAAGGATGAGATCCAGCTTTAGAGATGAAAGGCTCCATCCTTCAGGGGGAGGTCAGAGTAAAGATACTCCTCTTCATCACTGAATGGAATCAGATGAGATAGTTCAGATGTCGATGCTTCCCCTGGAGGTTTTCAGGGCACATCCTTTGGGGGGCGGGGGGAGAGACCCTGGGGCAGACCTACAACTGGCTGCAGGTATTTTATATCCTCTCTGGCCTGCAAACACTTTTGAATTCTCCAGTAGAAGATGGAGTGTGTCACTGGGAAGAGGAATATTTAATCTTGCTCAATTTTGACTTGGTGGAAAATGATGGATGGATGGATGGATGACATTAACAAGCAGCAGTCTTCTCCACTTTTTAAACCTGAACCCAGCACTGACCCCTGGTCTTGACCTTTACACCTAAACTTTACTTTGAAGCAATTTAGGTTGTTTGATGCTGCATATTTGTCATTTTTAAGTCTTTTGAATCAACACTACATGAATGTGAGGCCTATCTTGTAAATATCAGTAACTGGATCAAAACCTTCCCCTCAGAAACATTTGGATCAGAGCATACAGACACTGAAATGCTTGATATTTGGACTAATTTACTCATGCACAACTTCCCTTATTTTCACCAGCAGCAACACATGCAGCCTTCAACCAACCATCTGGCTGCAATTGGGCAACAATAGGCTTCATTTGTGTGAAAATGCCTGCGGCTGTACACTTTGGCCCAGGAGTAAATCTACAAACTGTATTTAGAGTCAGTTGTTTCCTCTTCCCTTATTCCTGGATGCAGCTTTGGGTAGCAGGTATTTAGTTGTCAGTGTTGTAGGTTTTTGGTGAAGCTGCAGTTTGGAGCAGACTTTGGATGGTTCGCAGAGCTCTTGCACTCTCCCCAGTTGGTGGTTTGTCTGGGCGTTTGGAGTCTGTATTCTCGGCTCTGTACAGTCCAGACTATAATTTACCCGTTTGCATTTTAGTGTTTATATTTCAGCAGAGCTTTCTACAGAAACGACTCTGTGTGGGACTTTCCAGGGATCACTGCTACACAAGATTCAGCACTTTCCAAATACGATGTTGTTTTAACTGAGTGAATCTTAGAAAATGTGTTGTTAAACTGCTGAAATTAACTGAGGTGACAATTAAACATGGCAGCCTGAATTATGACATCAACTGTGAAGCCACATATTGCAGGGCTTTTTCAGGAGTCCCGCAGACATCCAAGGTTTCGCTCGAACAAACAGAAAGAGACCCACAAACTGAGGCAGCGCAGCTGAATGACATCAGACTGCACTTACTCTGCTCTCCACAAACCACCGAGTCTGTGGCCAACAAATAGAAACACAAAGAAGCAAAGAACCAACGTGCAAATGATTCAAAGAGTTTAATTTGTTTCTGTGAGTTAGAAACATATTTTAAGGAGCTCTGATCAAGATGGCAGCTTTGATTCAGATTCGAGAATAAAGAAATTATACAGGTGCTGTCATAAAATTAGAATATCATGAAAAAGTTTATTTATTTCAGTAATTTAATTCAAGAAATTAAATTTGTATATTCATTCATTACACACAGACTGATATATTTCAAATGTTTATTTTATTTTGTTATGTTGATGATTATAACTGACAAGTAATGAAAACCCCAAATTCAGTATCTCAGAAAATGTAAATATTGTGAAAAGATTCAATATTGAAGAGACTTGGTGCCACACTCTAATCAGCTAATTAATTCAAAACACTTGCAAAGGCCTTTAAATGGTCTCAGTCTAGTTCTGTAAGATACACAATCATATGGAAGACTGCTGACTTGACAGTTGTCCAAAAGAAGACCATTGACACCTTGCACAGGGAGGGCAAGACGCAAAAGGTCATTGCTAAAGAAGCTGGCTGTTCAAACAGCTATGTGTCCAAGCACATTAATAGAGGCGAAGGGAAGGAAACGGTGTGGTAGAAAAAAACTGTACAAGCAATAGGGATAACTGCACCTTGGAGAGAATGGTGAAACAAAACCCATTCCAAAATGTGAGGGAGTTTCACAAAGAGTGGACTGCAGCTGGAGTCAGTGCTTCAAGAACCACCACGCACAGACGTATGCAAGACAAGGGTTTCAGCTATCGCATTCCTTGTGTCAAGCCCCTCTTGAACAAGAGACGGTGTCAGAAGTGTTTCGCCTGGGACTGCTGCTGAGTGGTCCAAAGTTATGTTCTCTGATTAAAGTAAATTTTAGCATTTCCTTTGGAAATCAAGGTCCCAGATTCTGGAGGAGGAGAGGCACAGAATCCATGTTGCTTGAGGTCCAGTGTCAAGTTTCCACAGTCAGTGATAGTTTGGGGTACCATGTCATCTACTGGTGTTGGTCCACTGTGAGATCTAAGGTCAATGCAGCCGTCTACCAGGAAGTTTTAGAGCACTTCATGCTTCCTGCTGCTGACCAACTTTATAGAGATGCAGATTTCATTTTCCAATAGGACTTGGCACCTGCACACAGTGCCAAAGCTACCAGTACTTGGTTTAAGTACCATGGTATCCCTGTTCTTAATTGGCCAGCAAACTCTCCTGACCTTAACCCCATAGAAAATTTATGGGGTATTGTGAAGAGGAAGATGTGATACACCAGACCCAACAATTCATAAAAGCTAAAGGCCACTATCAGAGCAACCTGGGCTCTCATCACACCTGAGCAGTGCCACAGACTGATCGACTCCATGCCACGTCACACTGCTGCAGTAATCCAGGCAAAAGGAGCCCCATGTATTGAGTGCTGTACATGCTCATACTTTTCCTGTTCATATTTTTCAGTTGGTCAACATTTCTAAAAATCTTTTTTTTTTATTTATTTTTTTTTTTTATTGGGCTTAAGTAATATTCTAATTTTTGAGATACTGAGGTTTGGGGTTTTCATTAGTTGTCAGTTATAATCATCAACATTAAAAAATAATACACAAGTATATGTACAAGTTTCACTTTTTAAATGGAATTACTGAAATAAATCAACTTTTTCATGATATTCTAATTTTATGACCAGCACCTGTATTTGCTTTGGTCAAACCCTTCAAATAACGTTATGTGCGATCTTACTCGATTTGTGCGATCTGTGCTCAGAGTATGTGTCGAAGATGACTGTCAGCTACTACCACACAGAAGTTTGGTTTGCAAATTAATAGTTGTTTAAAAAGTTTATATATGTAACATTGTTTTACTTTTTCTGGTTTAAGTAACATGTAAATTAAATATAAATACTTATCGTTTTACACTTTTAACTCGAACTGTAAACATTCTTTTTATCAAACTGATCTTCTCTCAGCTGAAGTATTGAAATTAGCCACATCTGGGGTCGTATATCTGCTGATAACATGCTGATAATTATATGTCTCTAATTATATACTGTACATTATATTATATTATCCTGATGCATGCTCAATAATCCAGGTAGAACAAACTAAAAAAGTTAAGTCTGCTTATCTGGACATTCAAAAAAAAAATAAAAATGTAGAAACATTTCCTCTTTCATCCAAAAGACTTCTTCAGTCCAGAGGACCAGACTTAACTTTTTTAGATTATATTATATTGTATATTATATATAATTATATGCAGTGCTTAATTTGTAAATTAAACTATGCCGGAACGCAAATAACTGTGTGAAACCAAGGTTCACTGAGGCCAACACTTATTCCAAAACACCCAACACAACACTGAGGCGTACAAATGTCAAAATACAAAACCAATTCATATTTATATTTTACTTTTAAATGCCTTATGTGTGGTTTATATCGGTCAGTTGCTGACAAGCCCACTGGATTGAGTGACAGGTGCAAAAAAAAGTAGATTTTATTGGCCGTTTGATTATTTTCATCATTTATTCCATATTCAAAATATATTTAATATTTTGGTGAATCTAAGGTTTGAGAACTAAGCTTCCTTACATAACTTTATTATTAGTAGGCTTGAGAGTTACCGGAGCCAAGTAGAGCCACCCTGTCAAAATAAGAGCGTTCTTGGATCCTGATCCGGCTCAAATTAAGCCCTGATTATACATCGTTTGTACGTCTCTATTGAAAATCACTAAATGTTAAACTCTCAAACTCCACTTAGTCTCTGGTTGACCTGTGTGGAGGGAAATATATATATTTTTTTATGTTGTTTACTTTCCTTTTTGCCTTTTATTAAATGGATACGACTCATAAATCTGCAGGCATGAGTGAGGCTGAGGTTAGCCAAACCCACAAAAACTTCTTTTCTACATGCATCTTATCCCTTTATAACCCCTAACCAGGTTATATATTTTCCCCAATCTGTCCCTGATGTCCACCCTCCTCCTCATTGTTTATATTCCTCCTCCCCTCCTCCTATCTCACTACATGTCCCTTTTTGCTTTCTCTCTCTCTCTGTCCATATCTGTATAAGGCATTGGAAAGGAACGGTCTGCGGCTGGACCCTCTGGTCCTGGCTAACGGCTACAGACTTGTCTCTTTGTGTAAATATTTGCACAAAGGGATTATAGATGATCCCACACATTTGAAGGTGGAACCCTGCTCTGTCTTGAACCACATTAGAGCACAAAACAGCTCAGAGTGTGGCTTAAAAACACGACATGATGAAAATAGTGTAACACAACATGTTCCAGCGAGGTTTCGAGGTATTGACACTAATGACTCCGTCTGTGTTGTTTCTGAACAGGCACCCAGCAGTGACCTCCCTCTCAAACATGTAGACACCATGGTGAGTTTCAGCTGCATTTTTCTGTTCATCCCACTCATTGTTTATTCTCTAGCCCAGCTTTGGATTACTAAAGTGTCTATAAATTAGTTTCTATAAATATCAGCAGACAGCTAATTAGTCATCGTGGATCATTTGAGATGACCAAGCTTGCTCTAAGGACATATTTTATCACAAATATATTTCCTAACACCTGTTGCCTTTATTTATAAAGGTATGTTGAAAAGGTGGGATTTATCAGCTCTTATTTAAAATCTGACTATTTATAAGCACTTTGAGCTTGTTCTGTCAATTTAAACACATGTTGGGTATGTTTGTTTTGCTTATCAAGTCCATATTTGAACGCAGAGATTTGTCCAGTCGTAACAGCGGGAATTAAAGTTGTGCATGTGCACCATTCATTTTATGCAAATGAACAGATGGAAGATTGACAGGAAAAGTTTGTTTGGACTAAAAAAAAAATCATTTGAATTGAGGTTATATGAAAGTTTATGAATGGTTAATATCTTACCTGCAGGAGATGGCTCTTTGAAAGACCTCTGTTTGGAGAAAGAGTTTAAATCTTATCAGATTGACAAGGGAACATCTTGGACCCAAGTGAATGGTTTAAAAAATGTCACAGCAAATCTTTTTTTTTATTTAATGAAAGTTTTGACGTTCAAATCGTTTTAAGACGGCAGTGATTCACTTTGTTCTGGGCCATATTTGAAGTAACCATTCTTTGTCCAGTCAACAATTCTTTTTATTTTTATAAAAAACGCAATTGTTCAAAACTCTATTTACAAAAGGCACAATATCAACTGTACTTAATCTTTCCACAAAACCTCACTTGAAATGATCTGAACCAGCCCTAAAATGTTTAAAACTAAAATACCTGGTCAAAGCTGAACTTTTATTTGTAATAAAACTGAAGTAATTGTCAGTTTCTGCTAAAATACTGCGTGAATGTTAAGTGGTGAATGGCTTTGCTTCAAAAGCTGAAACTGCTTTAAGGCAAAAAGAAGCAAAACACTAGCAAAAAGCTAAACATAGCATCATGGAAATGCTGACTCAGCAATGGCACAATAAGAAGAATCTGTAACCGTGCGGTAAAGTATGGCCACTTTAACATGCACACTTTATATTTGTTGCAGAACACACTTGGGCATATGTGTCAAACTCTAGGCCCGGGAGCCAAATGTGGCCCTCGTTGACATCTTTTCTGGCACCCAAGATGTTGTTTTAAATGTAAAATGCTTTGATCACTTTAATTTTTTTCAGTAATCTTTGATTATGATGTTAAAAGTGCAACAGAGGACGTCAAATGAGCTCAATCAATCTCATGTTGAGGAACCTGCAACCAAGAAAAGATGTTCGGTATCTAACTTGAGTTAATGTAGATTCTGAAACTGGCCCTTGGTTTGAAAAAGGTTTTAATTTTGGCCCCCTTTTGTAAGTGAGTTTGACACCCCTGCACCAGGGGTTGAGTCGACTAGTCAATTCTAGGACATCTCGCAAGTTTTAAAATTTCACGCCAACTAGTCAGTCGCTATTTTATTTATTTGATTTAATCCACCACCGTCAAACCAAAAACAGCCGGGCGGGCAGTGGTTAGAGCTGTCACTTCTTACCCAGGCCCACACCCGGCCCGGCCCAACCCAAAATTCAAGCCGGACCGAGTCAAAATAATGTGCTGGATGGGCGGGCCGGATCGGTGTCGTTTTTTTCATTGCGTCAGCGGACGTGCGTGACTGACGATCCAATTTGGGTCACCGTTTGACCACACGCTGACCGGACAGTTAAGAGGTACAAAAACATCCAGATGGATCACTGCCAGCGACCCACCTAAAGCTTACCAGTGGCCGAGCCCATCCGGTTGAAGAGGGTACAAAAAAGCCCAGATGGATGACTGCCAACGACCCAGCCGCTGCCGATGACCGTTAATAACTATAATATTATAATAAGGTGGATACCCCCACCACCCGTGGTGGATTCCACCACATGGATTAAATAAAATAAAACTAAAAACAGCGGGGCGGGCCTGTTGTTTTTAGCCTTGTTTTTTTACATGCAGCACGTTTCTTTCACTTTTGCAGCTTGTCACCGTTCGACCACGGCGTTCAAACTGGTTCGTTATTCCCAGGTGGAGAGAGGACTTGCACCGACCCAAATAATGGCAGAAAATAATAAAGTTTTAACCGTTAATTTCTATAAAGGCAGATGAAAGTTACAATTATTTCAGCGCTGGACTTCGTCCCGACTCGTCATGTTCCGGAAACGGAAGTCAAACTCCGCATGGACACTCGGCTTCCTTCGACTTTAGACTCCTCCCCTTAAAGGGGACGTGAGGGCAACCAGTAATGAAATATGTTGCAATAAAGCTTACCGCTATTTGGTTCAATCTATGCGTTCTTGGATGTTTGTGTGCAACTGTCCTTGTGTGCATGCTGCAGGTAAACAAAACCCTTTCTTAATATGGCAAATGGCTTCAAGTGGAAGCAGAAGTCTGACTTCCTGTTTTCCCTTTAACACTAGCACCATCTGAATATATGCTGTTTGTAAAAAGCTTAATAATAGTTTAGGTTTTCCTGTGACTTATTTGCAATATGATAAATGGTAGGAGCATAAATGTACACTCCAGATGTTTTGTTGCTTTATTTATTTATTTATTTTTGACTTTTTTTGTGACTATGATATAGCATCTTGAGTTCCTATGATGTCACAGCGACTAGTTGACTCGACTTTTATCATGTTGAAGTCGACTTTAAAAAATAAAATGTATTCGAGCAACACCTAGAACACACAAACCCCACCACTTGGACTAAACGTTAAAAAGAAGGAAACAATTGAAACTGTAAATGCTCTGTAACAACAGACTGAAACCCACAGCTACAAGAACAGAAACATTCTTGTGTCTGTGTAAGTGGCTGCAGTGTTGGTAGACATGTTGGGTTGAGGCCAGGCTCCACAGGTAGCTTTGAGTAATAACATACTTAAACTAAATCTGTTGAATCAAACTAAAACCTCACAGTAATGACTCTCCTCTCTGTGTGCAACATATGGCAACACAAACGTGTGTGTTTACTTTGGACTCACGGGACAGTATTTGTCTCTGACAACTTCCTGTGAGTTGATTTTGTCTGAGAAGGGAAGGATGGAGTGACCCATTTAGAATTACTATCCAAAGCCCAATGCCCACTTTCCCCACAAGAGCTAAATCTGGACCGGCATGTCTTTGTTAGTTTGTGCGACTGCTTTTTTCTTCCAATACAGAAGAAAAAAAATACTTTAAATGCACGACATGCTTCATGAAAGTTTCGTTATGCTAGCTGCATGTGTACACATTATATTTTTCCTTCAGGTTTCTTTGGACTTTAGCTGATTTGTCACTCAGTTTCAGTGTTTGTATTGTTTTAAAGAAATGCATTTTTGCTAACACTTACATTCAAATCGTTCAAGCATACAGTAAAAAGGCTCCTGAACTCCAGAGATAAACCAGAGTTGTGGTCACGCACAACAAATAAACAAGACAATTTTATATTTGGGTCTTTAAGCTCTTTACTCCCAGCTGTCTGCCAATTTCGTTACCTGAATTGACGGACAAATTACAAAAGTCTGACTGAAAATAAGATTTAGCTCCTGCAAGTTAACTGAAACCTTGACATGTAGCCTATCAGCTGAAGGATGATGCATTTTTCATATCTTTAATGCATTGTTTTCCCCCATTTCTTTAAAACTTAACGTTCAGATGCTGTTTGTGCATTAAGGGATCGTAACATGAAATCTCACAAGACTAACATATCACAGAATTTCTTGTCAAGTTGAAAACTGTTTCCTGAACCCATAATAACCCCGTCATATGACTATGGTGACCGTCACTGAAGATGTTCATGTTAAATTGTTTGTGTAGCTGCAGGTCAAACGTGTCAGGCACTAGGACCACACGGTTACATCACACAAGCCATGTTGTAAAGGCAGCTTCCTATTTCAGCCCAAGCCTCTGCAGCTACGTGCTGAAAGGAAGAGTCTCTGTCATGCTTTTATTTTAAACAGAACAGGTTTGATAAGTACATGTGGTGATTTGTCAACTTTAAAGCTGAAAAAATAAAGTTTAAACCTCTCTTTAATCCATTTGAGAGGTTGATTAAACTTTATGAAGATTAAAAAATATGGAGTCCTCTTTTTTTTCTCTCAACACAAGTTGGCTAATTATTTAATTAGTGTAATTAGTTGATTAATTTTTTCTAATTAGTTTATCAGTGTAAACAACCTTTCATGTGTCAAAAATATTTATTAAACAACTGACAAAGGAGTTTCACTCTAATGTCCTGAAAGTTTTCACAGCTCAGACTCTCAAACAAACTTTGCTGTAGTTTTCACAGTTCCGGAGTCGACCTGAATATTTTTTTTTTGTTTGTTGTTTTCTTAAGCTGTTTTGAAGATTTTTGTTAAAAATTGTTCTATATAAACCAGTAAAAGGTGGCGGATTAAAAAAATACATAATAAATAAGTAACTGAAAGTCTTTTAAAAAATTCTAGTAATTTTTTTTGTTCTTACTTTAAAAAATAAAATATTTAGAGAAAATGTTGCATTTCTGTATGAATACGTTGAGGTAAGAAATCTGAAATAAACATGGCAAATTCATTAATTTGTTTCAAGAAGTTCTTAGAAAAAAGGCTGGGCGTTATGTGTGCAGCTGATGTGTGAGTGAAGCACATTCACTCTGTGGTGATGTCAGGCGGCGGTTCGATTGCGCCTCAGAGCATCAACAACATTCATCTCATGACTACATGAGCTTCTTCCGCTTCGCTGTTTCAGTTTTATTCAGCCTCTCTTCTTTCATTACGTTTCCTTTTTGTCCACCACAATAAAAAGCAGATTATCACGTAAATGCCTATGCGTGTGTTTGTCTGTTAGCAAAATATCTCATTAACCACTAAACCGACATAAATGAAACTCTCAGGAAGTAATCAGAACGTATACATCTACAACTGATTAACTTTTGGAGGCAACTTGCTTCAAG